GCTAAATTTTACTCCCACATTCTGTAATGATTTGTAGAATTTCAAGTTAAAAACTTTAAAAAGTTAGGTCAATTTGATAGAGAAAACGTGTATTATTTCTAAAAATCAATTTCTTACTTTTGCAGGGATGCTTTTTCAGTAAAAAAACGGTTACATTTCTTCCTAAGGTTGCTTTAGAATGAGGAAGAAATATGTTTTGTTATAAAATTGACATGCATTGTATTGTAAGACAGGTCATTACAGAAGAAAACCAAAATTTTAGAGGATAAAAAAGAAATTGCACTAAAAAGCCAAAAAGGAAAAAGAAAATGTTAGGTAACATAGTCAAAGTTCCCAAAACCCAGCAAAGTTAATAAAATGCAGCAGTAACCTTTCCATAAAGTTGTACCTAACAACTTCCTCAACTTTCAGGCATGACGTCTTTTTTCAGGATTGAAGATCAAAATAATTTCCTACATTCTTCAAAGAAATACCCAAGATTTATCTGAAATATTCAAAATCCTTCCCACAATGTTTCAGGCAATAACACATTACAATACAGTCTTTCACCTACTTCTTCAAGACATCCTTTGAGATGACAATATTGCAAAATAAGTGGCAATACATGATCTGTAGCAATCTTAAGCATCAGTAGTTTCAGCTAAAACAAGCTCTCGAGTTTGCCCCCTTTTTTATCCGGGAGATTACAGGCATATATTCCTTGGCTCGTTGCCCAAGAGATCAGACTATACAGCAGCTTTTGAAGGCACAGAGCCAGAATAAGCAGCCTTATGGATTTTAATGGTTCTTCCCTCAAAATTTTGGTAACTGGAAGACAATTGACAAAGAAGGACATCGCATCACCTCTGGTAAATATGCAAACATTTCAGAAGCTCTTATTGCTATTAGAGAAATTCTAGTTCTTCAGATGTTGGCAGAAGATTTAATTCTTACTACAGTACTTATTGACACATAAGTATCTATTGCAAAAGGTCTTTAAAATGCAACACAAAAATCTGAATCTAGCAACAAACCACAAAAAAGAATGAGAAAACTGTGCAAGTATTCCAGTGAATACACAATAAAACTATTTTTAAAGAAACAAGTAACTTGTTAAGCTATATTGTAGAATTTACAATACAGAATTACAGTGGTTCAGTGTTGCTGGTTTTTTTCTCCCCTTGGTGTCTAGGTCAATAAAAAACTAAATATTTTTGCATGTTACTTATGTTTTACTACACAGAGTCTTGTAAAAGTACTAGTATTTTCTCCAGTTGTTGGTGAGTTTACATAGGGTTTAGCTCTGGGTGGATTTTTTTACTTTTTTTGTTGCTATGAAAACAAAAATACTGATTTAAGAACCAAATAACTTATGATCATAATCAAAAATAACTAAATAAATCATTATTTCATGCATCGAAGGATTCCAAAGGATACACAAAATAAGTATTTAAAAATTACAGTAAAACAAATGATAAATGAAAAATTAAAGGTTCATGTTAAGTGTTCCTTTCAAAATATATGTATTTTATCTTTTAAATACTTTTATAGGCCATTTAGTGTTTTTACATGATGTAGTTCCAGGAAACATGAGAAATAATGTTGGAACAGAACAGATGAATCCATTTTAGATATACTTTAGATGTGTTTATTGTTAAATGAAAAGCAGACAAAATACTTTTGAAATATGAAATAAATAAAACAAACAGCATTTTAACACCAATAATGACTGTACAACTCGGTAAAGTTTTACTAAACACATTTAGAAGCATTCCATCTAGCAAACTGTAAATAAAACCTGTCAAACACTTACATAAATGCAAAAACATTAAATACACTTGATAGAATTTATTTCCAGATACGTTTCTAAGTCACGGTATTACTATTTCTTCATATTATTCAACACTATTTTCAACTAATGTCCAGTTTTATCTATAAGACTATTTTTATAGTATTCTTTGCTCCTTTGCCTAGCACTCATCATCATACAGTTTATTTCCCCCCAGTTTTTTTCCACAGTTTTAAAAGTAAGAATTTAATATCTGACAACTCCAATTTCTCAGTGGAAATTATAGCAGCAACATTTAATACTTAAAGGTCAAAAGAACGTCACAAAGGCCATGTATATCTGTTACAGTCCATATTATCCTAACTGTCATCATCATCACTACTATTGTGAGTCTTAGTCCATTCCCTGTAGGCCTGTCTTTTCTGAAAGCATGGTAAGGGAAGAAGAAAGCAGAAGTATTAGTTTAGAAGTAATAGCTTGTCTGGCAAATTTGTTAATTAAAGCAAAATAAAACCTCTCAAAAAAATGAAATTCTGAAGTGACATCCTCGTTTAGGACACAGCATGAGCACACGAAATCACCTATATCCTATTTTCTTTAATCAGCATATACAATCCCTAAATCACTACAAGAAGTTTTATTTCAATCTAATCCAGTAAGGCATTGAAAATGCTGCAACATAGTGACTGCAGTGGCGCCAGTCACCACACCTGTATGTATAGAAATAATACAAAAGGGGAGAGTAATCTTTTTTCTCCATAAGAAAATATGCCATTCAAACTGCTTCAGATAGGGGGCATGTAATACACTGAGCCTCATGCAAATCAAAGAAATATCTCTAGAACCAAAAACATTAAGAACCAAAAACATTAGTACACTTGAGGGTAAAGTGAGATTAAGACATCAAACATATCAGAAATTAATGTCTGAAAAAAAAAATTCATGCAATTTGGTATGTTCTGATTTGACTGTCTACAGGGAGAATTAGAACCCTCTTTGGAGCCTTCAAAACATTTCTTCAAGACTAGTTCTGCCTTAGGATTGTCAGTAGTGAAAACTAATATGAAACATACAATTTTTCATTGTTAGTTACTTTCAAATTGTGGCTGTGATCACAAAATATGACAGGCATTACACAAGGCAATGCCTTTATGCTTTTATAAGCTGGATAATGGAAGGTGGTGATACTGTACTCAATTACACAAGACAGAAAGATTAGAATTACATATTACACTACAGAATTTTTTTAACATTTCTCAGAAAAAAACCCAAAATGCAAACATGTACAAATTTAAGAAGCAAAAGGAATTTCTAAGTCATTAGAGAAGTCTGCACATTAAAGCTGAATGTTGCCTTGCTAGTGTTTGTTTTAGTAGTACACTTTAAACCAGAAAAGGGTATGTTTTAGAATTCATTTTCTTACCAAAAAGAGGAGAAAGATTTAGCAATAAATTTATGCCATTCATCAGTAGTAGCTTCTAACTATGGTCTAGTTAAGGTAATACTGCTTTGTAACACTAGCTTTAAATTGGAGGGCACAGGCTAAAGCTATGTCACTAGAAAAAAGGCAGAGGCATACTATTTATTATCACAGAAC